TTTTTTTTTTTTTTTAATTTTTATACAAGGCAATTGTAATCCTATTGCTAAGAGGGGGAAAGGGGGATGGATGTTGTCTCTGGAAATCGAACCACTAGCAGAGGTAGGTGCATACCGCAAGGGCACGCAGGTGGTAGAACCACTTGAACCAGCGGGTGGTTTGCCATGTTGCCCTCTACAGTTGATTGATTGCGGCACCCGGTAGGATATTTGTGTGGATGTCATTTATTCCGTAACCATCTGCCTTGTTCTCGTGGAAATTGACCACAGATGTGAAAATCACATATTCTCAATATATTGTGAATATGACAGCAAAATCTTGGCCTCAAAGTCCCAATTTACATGTTCGAGGTTAAACTTAAAGTATCTTCTTTTTTGCAATATTAATCGAGGTTTTTCTACTGTATCTTAAAAATACAGTATAATTTTTTTTAACAGCAAAAATACAGTATAAATAATTAAATATGCAACAATTATCCTTCAAATGTTTGTCTCTTTTTTTTATTTTTAATAAAAAAGTTATTAATTGAGTATACGAGATATTTGAACATGTTTCAAAATAGGTTTAAATTTCCAAACTAAAAACATATACATGATACTACAGCCCAATACCTTGGTCATCATTTCTAAAAGAACAACACTCAGATATAGCTTCCAGAGGAGCTGCTTGCCATAACTCAGTGGATAAACCAGGTAATAAATTTGATTTCAGCCACTAAAATGATTTATATTTAATTAAATCCATTACCTTGGCCATTGTGTTTGTTTTGTTATTCTGTTCTAGTTCAAGTTTGAAGTCATGAAATCTATGTAGTTTAGTTTGCCTCCACTGTTATTTCATAATAGGTAGGGACAGGTACATGATCCCTCTTTTGCTTGATTATAGAACAATTATGGGAAACACCGAAATAGGCCCCCCATTTTTTTTTCTTCTTGATGATGGGAAACAGGCATTTTTAGTACATCAGTTGTATACCCATCAGCACAAACGCACATGTCGGCCACTTGCCCATGGTAGTTGCTGCAGTGCATGCATGGGTGTAAAATGGCTACTCAAATCAATCATAATTAACGGTCGTTGCTGAAGTAATTGTTTTCCCCTTATTCTATCTATATACAAGTGAGAAGTAACTTATCAATATATGTGAATTACATTTTATTTAATCATTAATAAAAGAGATAAATATTAATAACAACATTTCATCTCTTCATCAATAGTTAATTATTTTATTTTTTAACCTGTAAAACAATATTCTATTTTATCTATCTATTTCTTCATTTGGGTGAATTTATATTTTTTAGGTTGTCTTCTACTTTAATTTTGTAAATCAATAAGGGGGATTTTCATTATAGATTTAGTTAAGGTTATTTGTTTACTACAGCAATTTGACTAATTAATCAAATAAAAATATTTAAATTATAAATAATAACAATAACTATTAATTATTGATTATTTGCTACATTTAAATAGTTAATCTATACACTTCTAAATTAAAATAGAAAGAAGAAA